TAACTATTATAGTTACGGTGGACCCGATCAGCTGATCGGCTGACAATATGTGAATAAAGCGGTGTTCTCGGTCCACTGATCAACAAAAGATCAGCTGATCGCTTACAAAACGCACATTGTACCGATTGTACGTTCTAAAACGTGCTTCAATGCACCTGAACAACACTGCAGCCTTTGCATAAGTCGGTTTTTACCTGGGAAATCGGAGGAAAGGTTACATTTTGGAGGTTACACAAGAATTGACCTATACTTATTTAGAATATATTTTACTTGCAATCAGTTTTGTTCTTTACAAGTTGGGACTTTTAAAATTTAGTAATTTTCAGATATATGTCAAATTAACTTCCCTTAGAATCTTGGAATAAACTTACTAGTGAACTTCAGCATCACACGATAAATTAAATAATTATTTTAACTATGCATTTACACAGAAAAGTTGTGTCCCTTGAATTAAATAGATTTTAGTGAGGACCTTAAGTATATTTATGTCCAAGTACGTTATTTTATCTATATATAAGGCAATTATGGATCAAGAACTTTTGAGAAAACCGTAAGCCGCACACCTATCAGCCACATAATGTGAAACATCCATGAAAAATATCAGTTAAGCCTTCCCTAAGAGCACAAAATTTATTAAAGGGCTGTATTTAATCACTTTAAAATATTGAAGATGTATCAGCTGATGGATTTGTTTTAATTTATTGTTTCTGTGTTTACTAGTATTTCCCTCAGTTAATCTTTCGATTCTCATTACAGCCTGATGTACACAACAATAAAGCTATTAGTTTTGATTCTGCCACACAGTTGTATGCAAGTTCAAAGGAGATTGTATTAAAATAAGCAATAAGTATGATTAAGATTTGTTTGTATTATTTTTATAGTAAGCGTGAGTAACTGATTTTTAGAATATATTTAAAGATCTACGTTATTCTCTTAAGTATTCTGGCCCCTTTGCATTGCACTTGCAGAATAACTAGCAATCCTTTAAGTCATTATATTTTACGCCACACTACAATGTTTTGACGAACTTCCCACGCAAGGATTTAGTCCAGAAAACAGCTGTTTGCCTCCAGCTTAATCGAATGGGGTTTCATTCCGTACTACTATTGAGGTATATATAGTCAATGGTACTACTGTACCGTCATGTTTTTACCGGATACCAACCAGTTGATTACATTAGGAAACGAGTGGTTATAAGCAAAAACATTATGAGTAGTGATTGTTAGTCCTTTAGTCGGTGGGTATATATAATGATTTTTTATTGTTATGTTAGCTTAGAGTGGTATGGCGTAAAATATCGTACGTCACTCGTCCAAAATGTGTTTACCCGACTCGTATGGTAATCCCGCACTCGACTTCGTCTCGCACGGGAACGACCACACTAGTCCGGTAAAAAACTATTTTTAGGACTAGTAACGTAATAAACTATTACTGGCCATCTTTGGATGATCTGCACCTAATTATAACCATGAATTGTTATTGCAATGATTTAAATTTAAATTCTTTGTTTAAGAAGAATATCACAACCAAGAAATAACATATTAAAAAGCTTAAAATGCTAAAATTTCTAGTTTACATATGAATAAAACTACTACTTATAATGAGGTTAATACCAAAAACACTAAGAATATCTTGATGTATAAACTTAATATTACAAGTGCTATTTTGATCAATTCATGCAACACAATCATGCAGGGCATTACTTATGATTATGACAAGATATGGTTATGCTTGTATCATATTGAGCCGTTATACAACCCCATTATCGCATGTATTATGATGATTACAAGATCGCAATTGTTCCCGATTCGCCTCGGAGCCGCAGACTACTCGGTGGGGAGCCGTCATTACAAGATAATTATGTAATAGAATCCCTAACGAGCGATCTACCCAGCGTGCTGACGTGTGGGGGGCCAAATTTTAAAATCGAGTGTCTTAAAAGGTTAGTAATCGGTTGATTTACTGGTTTGATACGAAGAAAGCCAGCTGTTTGATGTTTCAAAATGGAATTACCTGATCTCAAACTCAGTGCTTTAAATACATAGTACTCTCCCCAGGAGTTGTCACCAGTGTTTTAATCAAAATCGTTGTAGTTGATGTGAGCCGACAGATTGTGCTTATCTAAATAGGCTAATAACTGTCGAACATACGAACTTTTTTAACATATTCAAACTAATAATAACCCAGCCACAGCAAACCTGCAGAATTATTAAATTTCCATTTGCCTGATTGGATTCACACTAAAATGTATCCTTAAAAAGATCACATTCATTCTTTATTTAAATATAATTACTTTTACGAGTACTTAGGTTTGCTGCAACAGGGAGGGCAAAAGTGTACGAATGGTGTTTTTGGCCTCTAGGGACCTCAAAACGAAAAAGTAAATCGGTCCCGGGTCCCGGTCTTACAATGAGTACTACGGTAATAGCTTATTCCCTATATGAAAAATTCGCTAAAATTACTTTATAGTGAGCTATAGAAAGTGTCCAACCAACCTTGTCAGAAACAATAAATAATGTAAAAAGTTTAATTCTATACACTAGTGCATTCTGTTTCCGGATCACACAACTATGTTCTTTTCTTTAAAAAATATTGTTGACAGCTGGTCCATATGGTCTACTTTAGTATCCAATAGCATTGATTATACACGTCAATGGTCGATTGTACTGGTTATAGAAACATATGCCTTTAGGCAGTAAAAGTGCCAAACATTTTACTCTATACCTTACCTCTATCCTACACTGTTTCAGTAAACCATGGTGTGCTAAACCACGCGTAAGAGGTCAAAATTTAAACATATTCTCATATTGATTTATTTTCTTATACGGAGTTTCCCGTAAGTAAGTACAAAGAATTTCGGAATAGGTTTAATCGGTCAAAATAAAACGAAAATAAAGAATAATAAAAGTTTTATAAAAACGTACCTCTTTAGTGTGATATTCACAATTTTGTTTTTTGCATTTTAAATTTATAAATGGTATTAAAATATACTTTTTAAGATATCTTTAAGAAATTGGGTATACAATGTTATAAGTTTATATTTATTTATTTATTTACTCATTTATTTCATACGGAATCACCATTATTACAATAATATATGCATTGGCAGATTGCACTGTTTTCCATGAAAATATGATAACATTAACAAAATGATTTTAAAAAATAGCATTATACAATAATTTTTAAGAATAGCACTAACAAAAATAACGTGAATCAAACAAGAACAGTGAGGTGAAAGTTTAACCAGGTACTTATGCAAATGCAAGAGTTGATTTGGCAACAGGTCAATAGAACATGGTAATATGCAACAACAATAAAAGGAGTTTAATATTATACTTCATACAAAAAACTTTAATTATTTGATGATGGTCATTTAAATTTTTAAATCTTAAATAAAAAAAAAATGGAATGACAAACTTGAGCACTTTAAAATGTATTTCTACCTTCTTCGGTATAGAGTTTTTTTTTTACTAGCTACTTATTTTTACCATTCCTCTTATTTCAATTTTAAAACTTACCTAAAGTTTACTTTTTTCGAGATAATACCTAAACTTTTCTCGTATAGTATCAGTAGAATAATAATTGCATATTTCCCATATACCAACTAAGCTATACAAGATTGAAGGATTTTTGAGTATATTTCACATTTCTGACTACTAAAACAGTATCAGAACCTTGGATCCGTCCCTGTCTTCAGTTGGGAATGAACCTTTAACATTAGTTATCAAAACGAGGAAATTCTGGGAATCACAATTAGCCTTATGACTCATACATCACCAAATATAAACTAAACAAAGAACATTAATTACTTAAAATTAATTAGGTGAATGGGTTTCAAAGTATTCTTAGGAGCTTCGAATCAAAGAGTTTTTTTTTTCAATTTCTATAAATCCATAAATATCTATGTCCAATTTTTTCTTTCGAGAGTTAAACACCAAGCTACAATTACCATTTTGAAGCTAATTGCTTTCTTAATTATATTCACGCTGCTATATTCGCCTTTTGTACACATAGAGCTTCCTTGTTCTATTTTCATACTCAACACCCAACCACGCTTTACCATGTCAGAAACGGTAATAAAGTATATCACGACTTTCGCTAATTGAATTGTCACAAAACACGCAGTTAATCTTCCTTGAACGTAATGGAGATCGAAAGGTGTTTTCCCGTAACAAGAAACAAGAAGCATCGCCTCGATCAGTCACGCCCTCGTACCGTTGGTAATCGAAATCGAGTGTTTTGCAATCGTTCGTCTTCACTTTCAGACAAATACGACGTGCCATCAGTTATGGTATTATCTTGACACCTACTGCCTCGTTTGCCAGATGTTTGAATAAATTGTGTCATAAAAGAGATATACGTTTTCTCTATTGGCATATTCAAAGTACATAATCAACTTTTCTTTCTACTGGTTGGAATTATATCCATTTGAAAATAGTTCCTAAAAATAATGTTAATATTTGATACTTGATAATCGGTTGAGGTTTTTCACTATTTATTATTTTTGGCCTTGTTAGTTAAACATCCAGATTAACAACAAAACTTTCATGGACTTTATTTTAAAACATTCACAAAATTACTAGTAAGGTAGAGTATTCATTACTTAAGATTATTTTAAATCTATAGTTTGTGATGCACGAATTTTAGTGTTACATTTTTTGAAAAAGTTATGTTTACTAAATTAGTTGTAATTGGAAATCTGTTGTGGATACATAAACAATATATTTATTTGATAACAACTGTCCACGTATATTTAGTTTTATAAGTCGAAGGAACACGTCAAAATTGCACGCCTTGATAATTTTTAACTGTTCCAGGTGGTGTTGAGCTTTTAAGTTTGGTAAAAGTCAATACATGAGGCTACTGTCATTTTTAAAATGTGTTAAAGGTTTACCACATCGCAATTTAAATTGTGTTTGTGTTATACTTAATTAATTTCCCATTCCATTACTTTAACAAAAATGATAAAGGTGTTTAAATAATTTAATATTTAATTGCAGGTAGCCTGGTGCCTTCTAGCAGTGACCCACGCGCGCCCGGAACCTCCGATCTTCACTGACGATTACAACGACAACAACTTCCACGGGGGCAACACCGTCGTGCTCCTGGGAGGGAACGGCCACGGGGGAGGCGGCTACGATGGCAACTTTGGGGGAAACTTCGGAGGCCACACCGGTGGAGGTGGTGGTGGGGGCTACGAGCAGTCACCAGTCATCCAAAAACACATCTATGTACACATCCCTCCGCCAGAGCGGGAGCAATCCGCGCCGCAGAAAGTAATTCCTCCGCCACCCCCGAAGAAGCATTACAAAATAGTGTTCATCAAGGCACCTTCTGTCCCAGCGCAGCAGGCTCCGGTTATTCCAGCTCCCCAGCAGGACCAGGAGAAAACTCTTATTTACGTGTTGCATAAACACCCTGCGGACTCTCCTGCGATTGTCATCCCTACTCCAGCACCCACTACTCCTTCCAAACCGGAGGTGTACTTCATCAGGTACAAGACTCAGAAGGAGTTGTCCCCAAGCTCGACAGTTGGGCCTCACTACTCCAGCACGTTCGGACCTGTTAGCAGCACCCACGGTCATCTTGGATCCACAGCTGTCAGTATAGTGCCTCGTCCCAGCCCGTCCTACAGCACCACGGCCTCCTACCACTGATTTCAGACATTGATTTTTGATTGAAGTATATCCCTTTCCACTGTCCAAGATGTAGCCAGTTTTTAATGAAAATGAGATTAGTTTAGTTGAGCTAATGGAACAGTGTGCTAATGCCAAAAGTCGAGTATGCACACCAAACAACTTAGTAAAAGCTATAGCATATATTATGCCACATAAGCTATCCCAAAATAAAAGCTTAGGGGGGAAACATTCTTTTTTAATTTTGCACACACTATGTAAGGGACTTCACTTCAACTATATTTAATTTAGAAGGTATTCAAACTGGCTACAGCTAGTACATAGGTTGGGTGACTACTTCATAACCCAAAAGTCAATGATGCAAGGTTCTTGTGTTAATTAGGTTTATTGTATGTACATATAAATTTGCAGTATTAAATATTTTTTTTAATAAACCTGTTTTTTTGTTGATGAGTTTATAATTTATTGTTATTCTCGATTTATTAGTATTTCCTGATCTAAAGTGAAAGTTCAGACCAACCAAAATAATTCGTCTTTCTATTGTGTAGCTGTTCTGATTAATATAGTAAAATGGAAAAAATAATAGTAGTACAGCACTATAGGATACCAAAGTAAAATATGAAAACTATAGGCCTCAGTTATTTAATATAAATAACATCAATGTATGAATGGATGGATACCATTAAAACAGCCAAATCAGCACAGTACAGTAATACGCCAATTAAAAATATATTCTCCAAGGACAACCAGTAAGGTGATCTTATTAAATTCGTGTTTGAAAATTTCAGTAATACTACACGAGTTTTGATTTATGATTTTTATAGATTGGTAATTAATTAGAAATAGAATGAGACAAAAATACCAATAGAATCTATATAAATAAAATTAGAGTTTTGTCTGTACATTGCTCAGAATTATATACTTTTAGGTTATTTTACGTTTTATACATTAAAGAAGCAGAAACGAGTCTTATCTCAATTTCTGTCTGTCTGTCTGTCTGTCTGTCCCTTTGTCTGTAACACTCAAGATGGCATTTTACGCAATCTTCTCCGTGAAAACCAGAGTACATATCAAGATCCAAGTCATTTTAATGTATTCACTGGATTGGCGAGAGTGTTTTTAGTGATTTAAATATAGCCTCACTACTTTTTAAATAAAATTACGGACGTTCAAAAATGCAGTTTTGTGCGATTTTTGTCAAGTTTTCGTTCAATTTTTATCACATAATCGTCTATGAAATAACGAACAGCTGTTCGGATCAAGATTATTTTTTCACCACACTATCATGTTTTTGGCTGTATTACATACGTTAATTGGTGGCCGAAAGTTACGTTTTGCTGGCGATGCCAGCTGTCCATAATTTGGGGACCGAGCAGGTTTTTACAGGCCGGGGCCGCAAAATCAGCTGTCCGCTTACTTACTTAAAACATGAATGCATTTTAAATACACAATCAAAATCCATAGCATTGCAATAGAATTGTGTTATTGTCACCGTTGCCTAGCAACTATTTATTTTTATTTTTGCTGATTCCTCAAATTATTTCTTCACATAACCTTAAAGTTGTAGTTGTGTTGACTATCAGTGTGCATTATTATAGTGGTGAATAGTGGTAATAGGGTAAAGTGTGGTGAAAAATAGTGTTCGTACCACGGACCGAAATGGTTTTGCAGCTCTCGATCGATTTAAGTTCTCGACTTCGTCTCGAACTTAAAAACTATCTCGAGCCGGCAAAACCTCATTTTCGGCCCTAGGTACGAAATATACTATTTCTAGCTGTCAATGACATGTTTACAAATGTTGTTTACAAATACCGCAACTATTTCGAATCACGTTTTGAAAGCAAATCCCAACCAAGTGAGATTAAAAACGTTTTTCTTACATAATAACGGATTTAATTAATCGCAAGTGCAATAATATAGTCTAATAGTGTAACCGTAAATGAAATTAAATAACTAGACATCGTCCTAATCGGAACCAGAAATTCTTTGAGTATAAAATGTTTCTTGAGTTTTGACAACCAGAAAGAAGACCTTGAATCAGTGTTGTATAGGGCTGTGACACTGAAATGATCGTCGCCAATAGCTTACAAAAAAGGTTTCCACTCATTGACGGCGCTTCAATGGCGGTTGTGTAAAGTGTAAAGTAAAAAATCACAACTGCAGTGGGTGATTGTAACAGAGGTTTAACAGAGGAAGTGCTAAACTCGCTTTTCCAATGTGTCACTTTCTGTTTCTACTCACCGTGTGATGCAATCGCTGGACCATACAGCCAATAGGCCCATAGCTCATCTTGGGTACGTAAGCCTGCATATTTATTTGTAACAACCTTTTTGATGACGATCCTTGATACCGGTACTTTTCCATAGAATACATGGCCTACCTACTTAAAAAATAAAATTACAAATGACCAAAACCCCAACATTGTGTGCTTTTCGTCACATTTCCTTCTAATGTTAATAGATATACTAATCATTGTTTAGAGAATGCGTAATCTATTAAATAACAAAAAGTTGTTTGGGTAAGGTTGCTTTTTTTAAAACTGACACCGATAAGTTTACGCTATAACTTTTTACGAGAAAATCCAAAAGCAAGAGATCAATAACCTCGGGACTAGATATTAATGTATTTAATTGGTCCGATTTACTATAGTTCTTAGGTAGGTTCTTACGTAGGTACTGGTAGTTTACAAATTTGATATCGTTGGTGTTGCACCTTATTTATTAGAGCCGTCCGTATTCAATTTAAGTGATGTCTTAACTCTGTATAAGTTTTGCTTTTTCTGTCTGGATTCCAAATCTTAGCTTACCCGGTATGCTAAGAAAATGATAACCTATTTGAGTAAAACATTTGTTGGGCAAACCATCATGAATTGTTTACGCCTTTATATTGTTTATGTATCAATAGTTCGTGGCCTTTGTTGGATTGTTGTATTGTGTTGTTTTGTTGTATGTTGGTAACGCATTAACGTCCTTATTTATCAGTGTTTCACGGAATGGACAAGAGCACCTTTGATACTGAAAATGTCAACCGGAATAAAGTGTTAAATGGTGAGGTTGAGGTAGTACTTTAAATACGTTTAAGTTAACCGATGTGGAAAGTAACTTTCAATTAGGTATAGGCCTACATTAGGGCTACGCTTCATGGATCTATAAAACATTTTTTAGTTTAATCATTGGACATATGGACCAACACGATCCGGGTGACATTTAATTGCGAAGCATTTATTTTGGCTTGAACAGTCAGATTCTGTATTTGCGAGGGTTTATATATAATAGTTTTGCCAGCATATCTGCAAATATACAAACTAATTGTTGTTCTTAATCTTAATATAAGAAGGTTTCAACTGACTACTATAAGATCCCCGTGCGTAGAACGGGCACACAGCTAGTATTTAATAATTGTAAAACATATTACTTTCACGTACATCTAAGAAACGTAATTTTAATTGTGTTTAGTTACGGCAACGCAGAACATCGATGAAAATCTACCAATAACATTAAGCCTTTACTAATGTTACTGATGTTGGTATTCCTAATGTCTTTGGACTAAAAGTTGCATTACATACTCCCTCACACATTTTGTATTTTATTATATCAGCAGGGGAAAATTTAAAGGAATATTGTGGTATAGTATTTTACGGATTGTAGTTTTAAGTTTACTGCTTAGTACCAGGAAGACCGAGATTCGCTAGGCTTTCGAACCCAATAAAATCAACGGTGCCTCCAGTTTACTATTACGCGCTAGCTCCTGTTGTAAGGATAGCATTTCACTGTCCTCCAGTCATAAATTGAAAACCTCTTTGGTTTATGTTTCTTTATACAGCTGTTTATTTTTGTTAGTTTGTTGATGTTTAAAATTGTCGTCGTTATTTCGTTGCCAGAGTAGTAAACCCATAAGGCTTACTGTTAAAAATGTTTGACTTTCAATTTCAATATTTTACGTAGTTGGATTTTCATTGGCAGTGTTTAGGTCATAAATATTTTTTTAACATGTAAAGGAAATGTTTGAAGCCGTCAATTCCTGGCACACCTACACAAACTTGATTCTCTTCATGTTACTACTTCTTGTGAAATGCCACTGCAGTAAAAAAAAAGACGCTTCTTATGTGATCCGAAACTATTAGGATAACAAAGTATACAGGTATTCAAAATAGTTAACAAAATATAACCCGCCAACTGTGCTCCAAGCTATATCCTTAGTGTTTTTAAAACTTCAACGTTAGACAGTATACAACATTTGCATGAATATATTAAATTAATATTCTCTTCCGTATGAAAAATTAAAAAATATACGATAACTAACTACGAACACGAAAATATTACCACCAATAAAACTGATGAATCTAAGTTAAAGTTTTCTTTTGAGATCTAATAAACCTCTCTTTTATTTCAATCATAGAGCAAATAACCGCTAAAATATGACACTTAAACATTATCGTACACTTGGCTGGCAACGGTCCAACGTCTAGAGCCAAACGAGGCCTAACGAGCGTTTAACGAGGGATCTGAACGTGATGTTGATGAGATGCAAATATGTCTCTTCGATCCCGAAATTATATTATTTTTATAAATATATATAATTATTAAACTTACAGGTTTGGGCAAATTTATGGGACCCCCCTATTAACTTCTGGGTTGTATCAAGGAAACCTAACTCTACACACATCTATATGGCATAGCACTTTTTGTTGGTATCTCAATTTCGTCCGAAACCCCAAAATGCGACTCACAAATAAACCAAATTCCCATCAAGTCACACCTCATTTTAAAGGTCTCATTATTAGTTTAAACAAATTTTCGTGAAAACTAGAGGTACATAATGGTACCTCTAGATCTCAAGATACATCTCAAGATACATAATGGCGGACATTTTTATTTTCCATCAGACTTTTTTTCATCATACTTTTTAAATCTTCAAACCACGGCTTGAAACCTTTAGTGGACTTAACAGTGTGGACTAGTTGCCTTTGTTTGTTATACTATTTGATTGAAATTTTTAACCTTTTCATTGCTACAACTTTATCGTTTATTTATTATGTATTTTGACCATTGGGTATTAAGTGAATTATAATAAATTTAACTATAGCTATTCCCATAATGAAGTTTTAGGTATTGTATTTTTATTCAATAGTAGTATGTGTTACCCAATTTTTACAATAGGATGTAAAGTCACAGAGAAAAATTGAATTCTTAAAATAATGATAACA